TCATATATTAGATTTTCATGATACAATAAAATTTGAATTATACTTGTAGTGACTAGTCAGGATAAATGAGCATCATCATAACATCAACCAATAAAAGGATATTTCACCTTAATCAACAATAGGATATTTCACCTTCATTTCTTACTCATTTAAATCCCCAAGGTCAAACCTCCAGCTACAAATAATTCAAACTTTATCTTCTATGGCCATAGAACAATATTTATCTTCATAAATACGTGAAGAAATAACAACAAAACGAGTCCAAGATATCACAACTATAACATAGTTGATTATAAATATATTTACAATAAATATATCTATGTAAAAAGAATATATTAAGAATATCAATGATATAAATAAAATGACAATCATTATAAAATAATTAAACAATATAAAAGATGAACACCTTAATAATTATTATAGACAAAAATAATCAAAGGTTAAGCAAATAAATGAGGTTAGGGACACCTCACTAGATAAATGTAGCAAGAAAATAACATAAATAAATAACATAGTAGTAAATAAAATTTTAAAGGAACAAGGTTCTCCTCCCCCTTACCTTAAAATTGTAGATTTATCACTCGTAAGATAATTCTGGGCAGAATTAGTACATGTTGAGTTCCACCACCACGTAAGCAATTGGGCACTTGAGTTCCACGTAAACAATTGGATTTACAGTGAGAGACAGTGAGGGAACTTTTATCTTTTCTAAATTTTAATTGATTTATAAAAATATGAGATTATATAGGATTCAAACCCAGTACCAAACATTTAAAGTCCTTAAGCACAAGGAGTGAAACCACTGAACCATTTTATTTTATGTGTCTATAACATCATGTAAATTTATAATAAGTTATTTCTCATGGACAATATTTATAATGTAATTAGTTAGCGCACACACACACACATATATATATTTATTTATTTATTAATCTTACTGAACATAAAATTTTATAGAATAAAACACTATTTATTTATACTAATTAATTCAATTATTTATTTAATATATATGTAATTATATTAATTAGTTTGTTATGTAATTATAATATTATAATTATCTATAATATCATTGGATATATATGTATTTATATATTAAAAATATTATTAAAAATATGAATTATAACTAATTCTAAAAATAATAATACAACCATTTTATTTATTTTAAATAAGGTAATTGAAATTTAAAAGAAGTATTATTTTAATAATATTTATATATATATATATAATATTAATAATGTTGTATTATAAATTTAGAATATTACAAAAAGCATGACTTCTTAATTTTACGATGAAATTATTGATTAAAAATTATATTTTTTTGTTATCACCATTTTAAAACTATATTTTATGGTTATAAAAATATACTTTTATAAAGTAGTTTTAAAAAAAATATATTTACTCTTTTGAAAAAATAATTATTGAAAGTACTTTCTAAAATATTTCAAAAAATATTTTTTAAAAATATATTTCTATCTTTCAAAAAGTATATTTTTTTTCTTCCAATTTGCAGTGATTGTTTAAGCATACTTCTAAATAGTATTATCTAGAAGAGTAAAAATATGCTTCTAATAAGTATTGTTTACAAGATTAAATATATTTCTCTTTCGAAAAGTATTTTCTAGAAGTACATTTTTTGTTTTTTGAAAAGTATTTTTCAAAAGTATATATTTTTTTCTCTTCAAGAAAGTACTTTTCTAAAATAGGTATTTAAAAAACAAATAAAGAAAAAAGAAAAAGGTAAGATGGTATATTTAATAGATGGTAACAAAAGCCTTAATTTGATCTTCTAAATTGATGTCCATGTTTGACTTTATATAGGCCGCTTCTAACTTTTTGTTAGTTTTTCCCCCAAAATTCAAAATAAATAATTAGTTTTAGGTTCAATAGCATTTTTGACCCCTTAAGTATCACATTTATGCAGCTTTTGTCTCCTAAATATAAAATGGACGAATTAGGTCTATTGAGCATTACAATTATGTAATTTTAGTCCATTTGTCATTTTTTTTGTTAAAAATCTAACAATTTTTATTGATGTGACACTTACATGTGACATAACACTTGGTTAAGTAGAGATACAAAAATCAACATTAGATAATGATGTGTAATTGTGGATATTAACGTTACAAAGTTGTTAAAATATAAAGAATGAGAATTGTACCCCCTCATTCACTACTTCCAAAATATACTTAGTCATTAAACAAGTAACTTTTGGTAAAATTATTTCACTCAATAATTTATGATATATGTTAAATTTCAACGATTCAATTATTAAATTAATTTTTTTAATACTTAACAATTTTTAATGTATAAATCAAGTTTATAATTTTCTTAAAAACTTGAAAATTATATACTTTGTTATATTAATTCAAATTCGCTATATAAATTCAAATCAACATATAAAATACTTTTATGTTATCTGTCAATTTAAATTAATTAAACAAATTATCAAATAATTTTCTTAAAAAATTTGTTGATTTGATTTATGTATTAAATTTTTTTAATTTAAAGATTGGATCATTGAAATTTCACATACACCATAAATCGTTAAGTAAAATAACTTCATCAAGAATTACTTTTAAAATAATTTGATCATTCATATATATATAAATATATATATAATTAAAATCAACATTATACATACATTTATTACTACTTAAAAATATTGTTGATAAATTAATACCGATCATATTATTAATGTATTAATATATTATTATACTTGAGAGACTAAAATCACTTAATTATTGTACTTGAAGAAAAAAAAATGCAATTAAACTTTCTTTTTATTGATATACTTATTTTAATATAATAAACCCTATTTCTATATTTAAGAAAAAGATAAGAATTTGTCTATAAATAAAATACCAAAGTTCTATAATTTATCGGATGAGGCCAAACTTGTCTACATAGACGTTTAGGATTTGATGTGACATACCCACTTAAAAAGTCGTTTAACTTTTCAAAATCTCACAATAAACTATGATCAATATTTATTCTTGTCACTTGTATCAGAAAGACTTTTCACTCTATCTATCATGGATAAATTACGCCGGTGGTACTAACATCAAGAATTGATAAAATCTAAAAACAGAGAAAATTACATTCTGAACACATTTAGGTCAATATTAGTTTGTACTCATGCAGTCGTGCATTTTGACTTGACTAATGCCTCCATTCACATTTCGAGGAACAATAAACATTATCTTTGAGTAGTAACTCTGAAATTCATGGTAGTTTATTTTCTTTTTCTTCGGACATCCTTGAGTCCAGAATGAAGGAGAACACTTGGGAGAAGTTCTACCATGCAATATATAATATGGGAAACAAAAGCAGTCTTTTTTATGAGGAAGGTGGAGTATCTTGTATTCTTGTTCACGTTATTTGGGCGGAAGAGAATGTTCATTGATCCAATAAAGATGCAAGCTATCCATGATTGGCCAAAAGAATTGGAATTCCAATAACAGGCGACAAAACAACAACTACCCATGCCTTCTTCCTCTAGCTAACCAGGAGGAAATCGCAAGTCATTACCAAATGAAGATATCAATAAAGGTGTCTGAACAGTGGACACATGGCAATAGGCAAACAATCTCTTGTACTCTTGTAACAACCTTACTATGAAGGAAAGACAAAGAATCATAGCTAGGCAGGCCGAAAAGAACAGGGTACAGTACACCGTCTGTCTGTAATGACATCGTGTTATAAATTACCTTCATCCTATGTCAGCAAGATCCAGCTAGCTTGGAACCATGATTTCGTGCCATACTCAATGTATCCAACTCACGACTTATTCAATATATTTTTCTATACACCCACACTTTCTGTTTCCATAACGTACTGCAGTTGTACTTCGAAGTCTCTGTTGAGTGTGAAATGTATGACGAGACTAAATGTAGGCTGCAAATTTAATAAAAAACATAAATAGTTTCAACTAATTTATTTGTCCACTTAATGTTGTTCCATCATCTTCAGCATCCAATTCTTGTTCCACACCTTTGACCTGTAAATGCAGCAAGCAGCATTCAATAATGTTTCTAGTAAATATATTATAAATGAGTTATTCATATAAAATGGAATTCATTTTATTAATGCAGCTTGAAAAAAATTCAATGATCAGCACTATTTTCTATGTATTAGAAAATACAAACTAAGCAAATAGAATAAACAATATATGCAATGACAGTGTAATTTTTTTTCTTTCTAATGTCATCCCAATTACAAACCATCATATATCATAAATTTGTTGACTTTTATAATAACTATTTTAAAAGTCGTACCAATAATAAATTTTGATTGGTTACAGACATAGTACATCTATTAAAATCAAATAGATACTATGACACATTATTGGTAAAGATTTGGACTATGCATAATCTGTGGAATAGGTATGTGTAATCCATATTCCACAGCTTAGATGTAGTCGCATAAGACAATAATAGCAAATACAATTCATGGTGAAGGATGACCCAGTGTACAAGGCTCCTAGCTGGTGGCATCCAAGGAAGGTAGATATATGCAACCTTACCCCCACAGCAGATAGATTGTTTCCAAGATTTGAACCCATTACCTCCAGATCACAAGGCAGAATTGAATCGTTGCACTAAGTCTTGCCCTTTAAAAAGGGCTGACCTATTGACCTACTACATGAGGATCCCGCTAAGTGGGGTCTATGGACAGTAGATGTACATAACCTTGGTCCAACAAACGGAGAGGCTATTCCAGGAATTGAACCTGTGACCTCTAGGTTAGAAGGCAACAAATTTATCCTTTCACCAAGGTTTGTCCTCTTATGGCTCTATCTAATTCAAAAGGTGTACAATATAATTAGCAAATTTTACAATTTAATTTGATTGGTCTCCTAACTTTACCACTGAAATATGGACTCAAACTAGATTAACTTGGGAATATGCATAGAACATACAAATAATTTCAAATGCTAAAGGAAGATAGTTCTTAAGATTCTAACCAATTCCCCTATCATCGAGTATAATGAAAACAATAAATGCATTACGCTCATCACAAAAAGATATTGCCAAACTTGTTACCTCAGGAACATAATGCATCAGCATATTTTCAATGCCTGATTTCAGAGTCACTGATGAACTTGGGCAGCCACTACATGCCCCTTGCATTTTAAGTTTCACTATACCAGTATCTCTGGAAAAAAGCACAATATAAAATACAATTCAGTAAAAATATCAGTTAGATAATTGACCCAAGTATTAACAATTAGTTCTGACAGAGTCAATAACAGCTCTGTTGATAATTAGTTGGATTGACAAAGGATTAGTTAGTTAGAACAGTGTGTACAAAGCAAATAAAGAAATGGAGGGACATAATATAATGGATGTTGCAGATTAGGAATAGGGATTGGGAGGGGAAGTCATGACTCCAGAATTTCCTGGGACTCTAAGGTATATATGTTTTTGTACTACCACTTTCCTACGGATTGGACAATAAAGTTAATCTTTAACCATCTGTTTTCCTACTTTTCTGATCCAGTTCTATCATAGTCAATTCATAAATATACCCATGCTCTCCCTAAAGATTGTCATAAAAGTGTTTCAAAACCAAAATAACAAAAATTTAAAAGGTACTCACGGGTCAAAACCTCGATACTCAATGTCCCCACCATCATCTTGCACTGCCGGTCGAATTCGAGTCTCCAACAGTTCCTTGATCATGGCAACTGTTTCAGAATCATCCTGCATGGAAACAGGTTAGCTCACCATTTAGATTTTGCCTTCTCAAACTTCCTATGCACTCAATGAATAAGACAAGAAAAGACAAATCTAATACTCCAGGAAACTTGGACCATTTTACAAAACCATAAAAATACTGTTTGAACTTTTACTAAATTAATGTGATTAACTAAACTTATTAGAGTACACCACATAGCACAAACAAAGTCCCAATCAAGTTTAAGTCCTGTGTATGTGTAACCTATAGTGACATTAACGCAAACCTATATTAAGTGAACTACATCACTGCGAAACTCTAATTCTGATAAGTGAATGGTCAAAAAAAAAAAAAAAAAAAAGCTAAGAAACCGCATCAAAATTTTGCCTCTACGAATTATGCAGAAATGCTTACCTGGTGAATAGCTGTATCCTTAGCAGCGGCAGCTTGAGAATCCAAAAAGAGAGGCTGAGCGGAGGAGTAGAAGTCCATAATCGCAGCGAAGATTTCAGGCTTGAGGAATTCCCACGCGCCGTCTTCCGATTTGGTAACGGTGACGAAATCGGATCCAAAGAAAACGCGCGTAACGCCTGCACACAACAACAACAACAACAGAAAAATGAGAACGAAACCCTAACGAGAAGAAAAAAGCGAAGGAAGGAGAAAAAGAGACCGTCGATTGCGAAGAGCGATTTGGCGAGAGGAGAGTTCATGGCGGAGCGAGGGTTGGGGAAGTCGGCGCTTCCGACTTCCATGACGGGCTTGCCGGGGTAGAACATCAGCGAGGAGGGATTCGGCGTGGCCTGCGTTTGGATGAACATGCTCCTCCGTTGGCCGGTGGAGAATCGAAACGGAGGCGCGCGCGTGGCGGAGGAGAAAGCATTGCGGTGAAACGACGGCGTTGCGCTGGGGCCGCGGGGGATGAACACCGCACTCTGCGTTGCTCGTTGGAATGGAACACGCGCTCGTCTCGCTAGTCGCCAAACGGTAGCACCTCTCATGCTTTCGTTACCGACTCCAATCACTCCTTTACCTTCAATCTTCTTGCTATGGTTATACCTGCGTTCGTGCTTGTGCCTGCTTCGTATCCTAAATATTACTTCAACTAACAAATGGGTTTTCTAAATTCTAACACTTCTTTTCAATCATTTTTATTTATAATTAAAAATTCATTAAGAATTATAAAATCAATTGGAGATATCTAAAATATTTATTTATTTATTAAGATACGTGAGTCATTATTATATTTATATTTACTGTTTATTAATAGAATTGAGAGACTTTGTGTCTCTATTCAAAATAAAATAAAAATAAAAATTAAGTAATAAAAATATGTTAATTTAATTAGTGTTACAATTAGTTTATTAATTTTAAAATTTTAAATTTGATTAAAAAATATTATTTTTTATAATTTTTGTAAAATAAAAAGATATAATAATTAATTAAATATAGAGACCAAGATAATTATTAAAAAGGGTATTTCTTTTATATATTAATATAGATTTTATTTAAAAAAAAAATTTAAAAATATTATTGTAATATACAAATATTTGTGTGTTCATTTTTTGTCTCCTTTAACACGTATTTTGGATCCCTTCCTTTTTTTTAATGCATGAAATTTCATTAATCTAAAGTAAGGAGTTTGTTTTAGAAATTGATTACAAAAAATAATTGTCAAGAATTTAACAATTACATAATTAATCTTACATATTTATTTACAAATTTGGTAGTTATTACTTGAATCAATAGTTATAGTTTCTTGAGGTTAAATCGTTCTCATCCCTTTAATGTTTAAGAAAATCTTCGTTCATATTTATTAACTTTGTGACTAAGACAAAGTTTGAAAAAATGTTTTCTTCCTAATTATATTAGTTAATTTAAAGGTATATATAGGGAGAGTGAAAACATATTTGCTGCCTCTTGCTACAACATGGCTTCAGTCACTAATTATATCCATGTAATCATAGATAAATTCCTGAAAGGGAAAATATATAACTCCATCGTCACTTTATTTTCCTTTTTCAGTTTACCTTGTTGAACTGAATTTCACGTGATACTACAACTAACAGTTTTGAGTTTATTTTGAGAAGTACATGCAACATACACTTGCATAAAATCTTTAGAAAGTAATTTTCCTGTGAAGCTATCATTGATTTCACATTTTTAACTATTTGGATTTAGGTTTTTAGGTCCAAAATCACACTACTAGTTAACACTTAACAGAAATACAGATAAGTCCAACTCGCTGAGAACTACTTAAAAATGGGTAGACAGTAGACACTACCAACAGTACGACGTTTCTATTAAGACGTATTTTCGACTTTAGTTTCTGCTTCATTTTAATAGTGTTGTTATTACTCTACTGTAAAGAACAGATATGCTTAATTTTAACAAGACAAACTGCAATTCAAAAAATTCTTACTTTTGGATTGCCGTGTGAAACTCGCACACATACCAATTAGGGAAGTATCCTATAAATCAAGGTAGTTTTAATAAGTCAGACATTAGCACTAATATCATTTTAAATAATTGTAAAAAATTAGCATGAAACCCACCCTTGTCATAAATAAAAAGCCCAAATTAACATTATGGACAGCACAATAATTATTGCTCGTAGATGTCACCCTAAACCCTAACCCTTAAGTATATGTTACGACGTTACAATCGTCACCGTAGAACATGCAGTAAATTGATATATTTACTTCTTCCAACACGTTATTTTTCTGCAATTAATATACCTTATTTTAGTACTTCCATTGAATATGTTTTTTGTCTTGATGTCTATGTATATTTGGCAGATTGAATAACCGTATGCTGGTAGGAATAGGAAAACCCAAAAACGTCATTCATTCCAGTAAATTATTAAAACCGACAGTGACTTTTTTATTTCCCCAAACATGCACATTAGCCTCCATAAGTTATATCTTCCGTGCCACACTGAAGTGAAGTCCCCAAACCTAATTTTATTTGTTGAGCAACTTCATTTCACAATTACTTCTTCCACTAAAATCTGGCCACACTTGATGCATGCTTTTACAATCATTGCTTCATTTCGATTAAATGGGCTTAAAAACTAAATCTAGGTAGAGTAAGGAAAAGGAGCATTAATATTATTATAATCTAATCTAATTCTGTAGTTGAAAAACCTGCAAATATAAATACCAGAATCCTCCAACATCCCGCAGGAGGCTTATATATAGATAGATTTGGAGGAAATCAAAATCTTTTCCTCTTCACCCGTGAAATGTCATCAAAACTGTCATCACTCCAAACCTGCCCACCACCACCATGCCTGAAATTCTCTTCCTGCTCATCTATATTTCTTGTTCTTCTAGGTGGCACATTTGCTGGTCGTCCCTTGATTCGCCTGTCAAAGTCCCTTTCCCTTATGTTGTTACCTCCCCTTTCATGAAAATCTGAATCATCTGAACAGAATCTATAATGTCTAGGTCCCTCTTCAGCATTAAGGTGAAAATTCTCACCAACATTACCATTATAGGGAGGCCTGAAAGAACGCACAGGCCCTCGTCTCTCACCAAACCTTCTCCTGTCCTCACCATTTCCTTCACCACTAAGCTCAAGTAACCTACCAGAATGCATAGGCCCCCCAAAGTAGTCATCATCATTGTCAGCACGGTCCCGGGGATCTACAACATCAAACCTCCTGTTTCTGATTAAAATTCGACCAGATCTCGGATGGCCATGGTCCCTTGCAGAGTCCATGTCCCTCATATCATTAGAAGGTCGTGACATAAATGACGGGGAGCCATGCCTCCTCACCACTCTCTCAGCGGGGAAAACAGGGCGATCAGGGGACCTCATTCTATCAACCCTGTAAAATGGTGATCTTCTGTGGGTTAATTCTGGATGTCCACCAAAACCATCAGGGGACCTTCTTCTTGGAGACCTTCTTCTTGGAGATGACCATGGACCAGGTGAGCGACTCCTAGATCTGATGGGTGACTTGGAACGAATTCGAGGAGGACCCCTTCTCTGCATGGAAGAAAAATTCCTACTCCCTCTTGTAAACCGACCATCCAACCCCTCAAATGATTGGGGCCGTGTGAACATAGGAGGATCCATGGTATCCTCGGGCAAACCTCTCATAAATTTATCATTATGTCTCACACCAACTATGTCTGAACCATCTCCAATACATCTATTTGGACTAATGTTTCTTGGATTTCTATGACCAATTTGGATGCCATCTCTTCCTCCTGGTGACCGCCTCCTTGGTGCAATATAGGAGCCATCATTCATGGGCTTTCTTCCTAACCGACCATTACCAACATATGAGCTATCAGGTGCAGCATTGTTGTACTCCATATCAGAATCGGCAAAATTAGATGTGTATTTAGGCCTGGGCCCACGAAACTGACTTGGACCATTATAGAACTCACCAGAAAATTCACGGTCAGATTCCCATTCATTTCTAACAGAATCTAATCGACTATTTACTCTTCCTCTACCTCGCACAAAATTCAATCTAGAGTTTCTAGGGGACATATCTTGATGTCTTTCTCTTGAAAATTTGTGAGGGCCATCAATGTAAACTTCATCTCTGAAGATCAAAACAAAATGAAAAAAGGAACTTGAGGAAAAAAATACAAGTCAGACAATAAAGGAGAGATAATCTATATAGGACTAAAATGTATACCTTCCTCTGTGTAATTTGTCCCCATCAAGTGTGTCAGGCAATACATCTCTTCCAGCTCGAGATGACAGTGACCTGCCAGAAATGGGCCTAGTTTTACCAGGGGATGAAGAACTAGCAGCTCGAGACAAATCTATAATTCTCCCTTGATTACCACCATTAGTAACATCTTTGGCTGTATCATCAGCATTTGCAAACACTTCCACCTTTGGCAAATCTAGCTCAGTTTGTATAACTGTGTCAGTTGTTTTGACAACTTCATCAGCACACTGGACATCTACTCCATGGCTTCCAACAGTGACTGGATTGGAATGTGATTCTATCTCCATAGCCTCAGAGATACTTTTTCCTTCTGTAAGATCTAATGATTTCTTTTGCAAAGCATTAACTGGTTGCTTCCCATGAGCAGCAATGTTAGACTTCTCATCATCCAACGACTCTTGCATACACACATTTTTATCAATGACCTTACCTGACCTCTCAAGCATTTCAATGTCCATACCATCTTCATTATTTATTTCACCTTGGATTCCAGCCTTGTTGTCATTTTCCACTACCAGATATGAAGTGGGACAATCACCGCTCACCATCCCTTTCTCCATCTGTTTATTTACAAAGTTACTACTACAGTCAGGATGCTCTATTTCTCTTACTTCACATATGGTGTCCTCAGCTGTGGAAGGATCCAGTGGTTCTCGAACCTCACCATCTTCATAATCATCATCTTCAACATATCGCTCAGTATCCACAGCAATAGTTACAGCATGATTCTCATCCGACTCATAATCAGAACCATAAGAATCATCCTCCAACATATCAGTAGATAGGGTTATCTTTTCTTCATCACTTACAGAGCCTTCACCATTGCCTCGTGGAGCAGATGGAGGCTCATTCATGAGTTTCAATCTGCAAGCATCACGATCAGCAGCATTTTCTTCCTCAGTATTCACAGAAGAAATTTTCTTGCAAGAATTATTCAACTCTGAATCATCACCAACCATAGGCACGGCAACTGTTTCTGTGGTAACCTGCTCAGCATTTAAACAAGCTCCATCACAAACTTTCTCAACATTGACTCCGTCAGTACGACTACAATTTTCTAGTTGGCTTTTCATATTTTCACTAGTTGATAACTCTGCTGTACACATTGGTTCAACTGGAGGACAAGCATCCCCAGAAGAAATTTGTGTCGACTCCGGCATATCTGGCATTGCCAACAAAGAAGAAGAATTATCTGATCCTTGTAGCAAATCTTTATCCAACTGATCCTTTTTACTCACAGCAGCATTGGGTTTTTCCTTATTACCCTCATGATCTGGTTCAGATTTAATGAAGGTACCATCAACTTTCAATAGTTTGCTAACATTTGACAACCTTGGAGAGTTGACAGCGGAATGCTGAACAAGTTCTTTTTTAACAGTGACACTATCTAATGAACCCACAGGAGAGGCATTAGCTTCCTTCAAATCCTTTTTAGAATTCTCATCAAATGGTTCTGGTTTTACCAACCTAAAACTAGATGTACCAGCATCACCGGCAGATGAAGCCACACTTGACAAGCTCACATTGGGAATACCACTACCAGAATTCAACTTAGTAGATAATCTAGAGCGCTCCTCAGCATATTTCTGAAGAAAAGGTGCAAGAGATAGATTACTTGAGTCAACAAATTTACACTGAGGTCCATACACTCCAGATGGAACAATGAAGGATTTGTTCTGACTCTCTTCACACATTGGCTTTACAGACACAACACCTGTTGACAGTGTCATCCCTGTAGAGCACATCAACCGCTTTTCATCAGGCGAACTATCAGTAATTTTCAGCCCATCGTTACATATTTTATCTGAGGCAGCTTCAGTCCCAGATTCTTCCCATGCATCCATTGTAGTATTCAGATCCCAGTTTGCCCTGTTAGAAGAATGGACATGGGTTGTGTCACTGTCAGATTTAGCATCAGTATTTAAACTCTGAGTACAGCAATCTTCCTTGCTTAAAGATAATTCCAATGAAACAGATTCCGCTTTCTCTTTTTTTTGGCGACTCTCAACAATATCCATACTAGCAACATCTGGAAAGAGGTGCTCCTTTAAGCTTAAAGATAAACTAGTACTATCTGAAACTAAAGGACTCTCTTGTTTACAAATATCCTGGGCATTTTGTTTGCTTACATCTGCTCCAATGCTAAGAGCAAAACCTTCTTTTGCAGCCAATAAGAGTTCAGGATTGTTCTTGATCAATTGGGATTCCACTTTTTTATTGCTACCTTCACAAAGTATCACCTTCTCTCTGCTATCCATGACACCCAAGGTACATGATTGCGTTCCAAGATTTGGTTCCTCAAGTTTGGGTATAAGTAAGGAAGCGTTGCTTTGCCCAATGTTAGCATTGGTAACATCAGTACTTGTTTTCTTTTCTTCAAGAGTGGGGATTCCATTAGCATCAGATAAACCAGATGAACTGGTAGAAAGAGTTGAACCCGGCGATGTGCTTGAATGGTCCTTTCGCAGGGCATCACTTTCTTCTGAACGTGAAGCCTCTTCCAAAGAGGACGAAGAAGGCTGAAGAAACGGGAACCTTCTTTTCTTGATCGGTGCACCTGCAATACTAGCATTTGATAAAGTTGATCCTTGAGAAGTGCTTGAATTTTCTTTACGTTGTAATTCAGTTTCTTCAGTAAGTGAACACGGTTCCTCAGACGCAGGAGAAGAAGGCTGAAACGAAGGGAACCTCCTTTTCTTGATAGGCACACCTGCAATTAAACCACTAAATTGCCCAGCATAGGACTTTACCCCGTTCTGTCAATAGAAGATCAAGTAATCAATATCCAAAAAAGAACAAATTGGCATGGTTCTCTAATCGTAGTTAGCGGTAAATCAGAAAGGAAATAAACACCTCTTCATGTCCTGAAACAGGCATGATTCCAAAGTAGTCTGCTAAAAAGCTCACAAGTCAAAAAACCCTTCTTTTAAACTTCAGTTATTACGATTCAATAGCAAATCCTCAACAAAATTGAAGTAGGATAAAAAAATCTGGCACTGAATTAACCATCGGTAGACATATCTATCTTCTAAAAAGCTTCTCCTTTCCAAGAAAAAACAATCCGAGCCATACTCTCACTTCCAAGATACAGACAAAGAACAGCGTGGACCTGCAAAACACAACGTTACATAACATCGTTAACTCCCTCGAACACGTGATAGGTTGACAATCAAAGTCAAAAACAATTAAACAACAAACATGCCCGTGCAAATTTAATGGCGCCATGGTCAACCAATCCCCTTTTAAAGATCCAAAACTAACTAACCCCCACGTAATCTCGACAAACTCCCAGATCAGTCCTTAAAAAACACTTTCCAATCATCTCAAAAACGCAGACAGTGAGGTCAGAAAACACATATCCAAGTAAATTACCAAGAACAAATCCACCCTTAAACGATCAACAAATTCACCAAAACAAAACGGACAAAGATCTACTCTGCGTCATGATCAACGCTCATCGAAACCGAGCAAGCAGAAACCCTTTCAAGTGCAAAACCAACATCAGAAGAAAAACCTCGACGTTAAAGCGAATAAAAGGGTTTCAGAATCGGGTGGCGTAGACCAAGAAAAACCATCTTGCAAGAATCAGATCTAGACCTAGAATCGCAAAGCAAAGTGTGGCGCACGAAACGATCGAAATATTAAATACTCGGAATCGCAGCCCCCGGCAATTGAAAAAGGAGGAAAACGTCAGATCTTGACGATGAAAAAGAAGGAGATACCTGATTGGTTGAGGCAAAAAGAAAGGGGGAAAGAAAACAAGGGTTTGGTTTTGGGGTCAAGCTCTGCCTGCAACTTCCACGAAACAACGAAAGTGGGAAACTACGAAGGAGCGAGAAAGAGATAAAAAGGAATCTCTTTCTCTCTCTCTCCTCTTCTCTCTCTTTATCTCTCTGTAGAGAAAAATAAAAATTAGGGTTTGAGTTTTTATGCTGATTTTATTGACTTTGTGAAATTGGAAGCTTATCTCTGATTCTATATATTCTATTTCACCGACGTGACCTAACAACTAATGCATCGACACGTGTCCTTCATTTTGACGTGGCCTACTATTATCCGTTCATTACTTATCTTTTCATATGATCCGTTGGATGTAAAGTGGTGACTTTTATTCGGGTTTTTTGGCCCGTTCACACTGGATCTTGGTGTCGTCTTTCCTATACCTAATTTTCTTATCGCATCGGTTCTTTTTTCAAACATTCAATGGATTGAGAATAAAATAATATGCTGAATTGCAAGTTGGACAAAGAACAGTACTATATTATATATATTATTATTTATTTATAGGAGCATTAACGTAATTATTGTAGAGAAAATTGGATCGGATACGCAACATTGTAAATTACCATATAAGATAAGTTTATGATTCCCATAATAATTTCTTCATCTTGTAATTAGAAAATTTCACTTCATTTAATGATTTTATCATTAAAGATGTCAATTTTGTTTGATGTCCTATATATAAAATTCTTTCATTATAATAGGTTTTTTTTTACACTAAAGTTTTTTTTTCTAATTCTTGAATTAAGTATTTTATTAATGATATTTTTAACTAAAATTTTAACATGTGATATATATAGTTTTAATATTTTCCTTAAATAAATTATACATATAAATAAATGTTATGTTTAGAATATATAAATTATTTTTAAAATTTAAATAGGTAAATTTTTAAATATAAAAATTATATTTTAGATTTATGAAAAATAATTTATATTATAATTTATCTTAAAATAACAATATTTAATACAATAATAATTATGACAAATAAATATTTATTTGTCATAATTATTATTGTATTAAATATTGCACTTTTAAGATAAATTATAATAATAATTATTTATCATAAATTTAAAATATAATTTATATATTTAAAGATATTCATATATATTAATTTTAAATAAGTTTATATATTCAAACATAAAATTTTATATATTATGTTATAGAAATCCAATCTAATCAAATTATGGTAATTTTTGGTTAATTATGGTGATTTTTCTTTATAGGTTAAGAGAAGAGAAATCAAGTTAGAGAAAAGAATTGAAGTTCGAAAAGATTTATAGAATTAAATATATTTATTTTTATATATAATTCATAATTTTTTATATATTAAATATATATTTCTATCTTACACAAAAATACTTTTAAGGAATTTTTTTCAACAAGAGAATTTATATGATTTTTTTTAATTTTTTTATCTAATTCAATTTTTATTTATCAAAATTATTTATGAATCAAATAATATTATTTTAAAATAATTATTAATAAATAAAAAATTACAATAATGTATTTTATATGTTTTAAAATATTTATCTATACTAATTTTAAATTAATATAATTTATATATTTAAATATAATATTTATTTCTATATAATTTATTATAAATTATATTTAATAAATACGTATGTGCATTATATGAAACAAAATACTAGTTATATATAATAAAAAAATACATGTGCATTGACAAGATAAAATACTAGTAATTAATATAAAACATGAACAATCATCAAATGCGAAGGTATTATTACTATTAGGAATGTTTCTTCAATAACAGAGATTTTGTGGATTCTTTTAATTTTATATATAATTAATTTTTATTTATTATAATTATTTATAAATTAAATTTTCATATTTTAAATAAATATCAATAAAAAAATATTATATTATAATATAAATTATTTATCACAAATTTAAAATATAATTTATATATTCAAATATAATATATATACATAATTATTTTAAATTTTGGTTATATGAAATAAACATTTAACAAGTGTATTGTACAAATTAAAACACAAATTATGATAAAGAAAAATTGAATTAGATATGAAGTTAAAAAAATCTCTAAAATCTTTATCATAAGAAAAAAAAAACTCTTTACAAATATAGTTATTTATATTTTATATGTATAATTTTATTAGTTTTTTAATGCTTGTAATGGTTGATTAATTAAAAACTTATTTAAACAAAAAAAATTAATAAATTAACTCTTATATATAAAACACAAATTTCTATCATTCAGGATATTGTTTCTATAAGTTTTTCTTTAATGATAGGATTTGTAAGAATTTTTTAACTTCTTATCTAATTTAATTTTTATTTAAAATTATTTTTAAATTAAATATTATTATTTAAAATAAATTATCAATCAATGAAAATAAATTTTTTGTTATGATATACATTATTTATCATGAATTTTAAATATAATTTATATGTTTAAAAGTATTTATATACACTAATTTTAAATAAAAATTTGTTTTCAATATAATATTTATTTATATATGTAATTTATTGTGAATTTTAATTATACATGATATACATTGACAAACTAATATACTAGTACTAAAATTTAATGAGATAATATTTTTTTCTATTGCCAAAAAATTTTATTTTAGAAGTGTATAAGTGATTAATTTAATTAAAAAATATTTAATAGATATAGATTTCAACTAAAAAACTTTTATTTAGTAATATTCATTAATAAATATGTTAAAAATATTTAATTGATAAAATTGGATGATATTTTAGTTTATTTAAAATGAGTGAGTTTTAATTTTGGTTCTGTAAGTTTTTTTCTTTATTTTTCATTCTTTAAAAGTTTATAAACATTTATTTTTGTCTTTTTAAAATGAGTAAAATTTGATTTTTGTCCCATTTTTATCTTTTTAAAATCTAAAATTAGTATTTTTAACCCTTACAAGTGATTTTAATTAAAGTATATAAATAATATTTATTTTAATAATTTATAAATTTTTTTTAAAGTATCACACATTGGCATAGTATCATTAACAAATATGGATAACATTTAAAATGATCACAACATTCATTATACCCAAGATAAAAACATAACATTCATGGATAAATGATTTCAATAATTTTCAAACTTAACTACATTCAAAAAATAGGTGTTTAATTTTACGAGAGCTCATGTAATTCCCCATAAGGCTCATGTATTGTCTTTTAGGGGTGAGTATGGATTGGTCTTTATAAAAAGTCAATCCGATCCGTTTTTAAATAGATTATTTTAGTGGTTTTTAATCTGATTCAGTTTATTAATCCAATTTTGAATCGAACCTAATTAATAGATCAGTTTCGAACCGATTTTGATCCAGATTTATGGATTAATCCATTTTTAAAATAGATAAAATAAAAACCGGTTTAAAACCAATTTTTTAAATAGTTTTTAAAACCAAATTTTTTAAACCAATTTTTTGAACCAAATTTTATAAAACAATTTTTTTACAGTTAATTTTGAGTCTGCAACCTAAACTCTAAATTCAAACTTTAAAGCATGATAAAATCCAATACAATAATTCCTAAACTAAATTGATTAGATTTTTCAGAATTTTTCAAACTAATTTTACCTAAAAATCCAAATCAACCCACTCATTTTTCCTTTAAAATAGAAACAATTTAAAGGTATATTCATGCAACAGCCAAATACCCTAATGCGACTTCGCAGTGCAGCGTAATGGGACTTTGTTTTAACGCACCGCGTGTAGAGGAGACTAGGAACAGCTGCACACCAGCCACCCTGGATCAAAACACAACTCCGCAGTGCACGTAATGCGACTTTGTTTGTCTTCGCAATTTCGCAGCAACAGCGCGTAGGAGATTAGGAGCAGCTGGAGTTCGGATTCAAAAATTGGGAAATAAGGGGTTTTTGGGAAAAAAAGTTAAAATGGATTCTTTTTATGGGGTTTTGATCCAATCCGTTTTACGTAAACAGATTTGGTTAATTGATTTTTTCTAAATCGGTTCGGTTTGGATATTTTATGTTTGGATCGATTATTTTTTGATTGGTTCGGTTTAGTTTTAAATAATTTGGTTTGGTTCGATTTTTTTGCATATCATGACTCAAAGGCTTAATCTCGTGGATTAAATACTTAATTTCATAACCCAAAGGTTTAATCTCATGTTTGTGATACATATCTCGTACTCATGACACACATTATACGCAATCATTATATGTCTCATATTTATGACAAATATCTCTTATTCATAATACATATCATATGCAATTGTTACACATATCTCATGGATTCATCATTTTATTCTCATTAAATACACTATTATCGTCTCGTATCCCATCATTTACCAATGTTTCAACCCTTACACAATATTTTCAAGTCAATCATCAACATTTTATCACAATATGCATAATTATCTCATATCACATCATTTTTCATGATACGCATAAACATATCATTTCATGCACATTACATAAAACATTTCATAGTATACAACCACAAAGCCTCAAACACAAGGTAATACAAATATAGTCGTTTATCTTCATCATAACTCATTTACAAATATTTTCTTATTTTCTATTTCTTAACTGTTGATATAAATTTCTCAAACCATAAAGATTATGCAATTAAAGGATAAAATAATTCATCATTACAACTTTTAAATTGTCTCTCCCAATCGTAAGCTCCTACGACATAATATAATCTAAACACGATACATGAAATTATATTTATGATATCAAGTTGATATCCATTTTGTTAAAAAGACAACACAATTATCTAAAACTTGTATGTCGACTTCAATAAATAATTCTATTATCCACTATTTTATAAAAAATACAAAATATAGTATTTTAACCTAAATATAATTGATTGTTCATTATTCACTAATTTAATCATAACTTAAACCCTAAATCTCATTTTTCAGTAATTCTAATAATATCAGAAAAATAACGTTTAGAAATACAATTTATATGTAAACCATAAAATTTAATTATAAAATTATCAAGCTCGATTCAAAATTTGGCAAAACTATCGTCAAATGGTACCTCATATAGTTTTTTTTTTTTTTTGGTGTTGTTGGTACCTCATATAGTTTGTGGAAAGCTTACAAATTATGCAAAATAAAATAAAATAAAAATCGTACAATACAAACTTAAAACCCAAAAACTCTAAACCAATTAGAAAAAATCACTATTGTTAGTTTATTATGCCATCAGTTTGTTTCTTTAGAATTGTTCAGTAGTTTCTTTAGGAAATAACATTTACCCATACCCACTTCCTGCTTAACAGTCATTTTTTATTTTAAGTCGAAATAAAAGAAATGAATGTTTATGTAAGGGATTGTTTGGCGACATCTCTGTTATAACGAGTAATAACGACGTCGTATCCAATCCCAACCCACACCGGAACCCAAGTTGTGCAATGCCATTGCGAGCTCGCACCGCAACTCCAAGTCTCTTGTGGTCTCTGCACACTGTTTTCAACCCTTCTCCCATTCACCTCAACTTTCATTCTCTGTCTCTGGCTAAACCCCAGGTTCAAATCCCTCTCACTTTTTCTCTCTCAATTAAATAAACAATTCCTATTCTTATTTTTCTCCCCATTGTTTCTTAATCATTGCTAGTTTTCTGGCAATTGCGATGATTTTTTGCCATGGCTGGAGCGGAAAGCTGGTTCTAGGATTTCCTCCTCACTTTTCATCGGAGAATCTTCATATGGAAGGTTCGCTTCGTCTTGTTTGAAACAAAGCTTTAATTTCGCTGTCCAACATCGATAATGTAGGGGAAAAAAAACTTTTGTATGCGTTGGAGAAATATTGGCAACTAATTTGGGGATAGAATTCTAAACACCAAATGTAATGTTGAAGCATCTTTTTCGTTCTTCTGTTATCCCCTCTTGATATGTGTCTGGCTGCTTCTAGGTCTCTGTTTGCTTCTAAGATAATTCGATCAGGAGAGTGCATTTTAAAGGTTCCTTACAGAGTGGTATGCTTCACATTTTATGTTATGGCACTATTATCGCATATCGGAATGACTGCTTGCTCTTGATGGTATTTTTCATAATTGGTTTTGCAGCAAATAACTGCGGATAATCTTCTTCCTGAAATCAAATCTTTGCTTGCTGAGGATGTTGGAAATATTTCGAAACTTGCCATTCTTATTCTGATTGAGAAGAAATTGGGTCAGGTAGCTTTATATGTTCCGATACTGATTTTAATCTGAATTTTAGGAGCTTTTGAGCTCTTGCAAACAAAATTTAATTTTGCATAGCTATGTTTAGCTTAGAGTTTTTTATTTTTATTTTTAATAATTTATTTTTATACTTTATTTTAATAATTTAATAAGAAATTCATCAAAATAAAGGATAAAAAGAAAAATAAAAAAAAAACTACAGTGAGACGGCTGGATAAGAAAATCTCCTTAACTAAAGTACTAAATACTGTACTAAAGAGAAAATCAATAGAACACAGCTGCCCAATCCCTCAACATATTTTCTATTGAGATTTGTGACACAAATTTAGCTTAGAGTTTTCAAGATGCTCAGGAGTATACATCTATAACATCTTTTTTCTGAATGATAGGGCTCTGAATGGTATCCTTATATCAGCTGTCTTCCACAGCAAGGGGGGCTGCATAATACGGCAAGTTTCCGTTATTTTTCTTACTTTGAGTAGTGTTTTTTCATGGTACATTCTGTAATTAATAACCAGTTTGCTCATGTACAGTCTGCAATTTTAAGCGTTGAAGTAATCAATCTATGATTATTCCTTTGCTTTTCATAATAAATTTATGTTTGAAGGATTGCATACATTTCTTGGAGTTGGAGAATAATAATCATAAAGACCTCTACTTTTTGAACCTTTGTTTAGGTATTTTGGAATGAAAGTGAGTTGGAGATGATTCGTCCAAGTTCAGTTTATCTGGAAACTATCGTCCAAAAATCTCAAATTGAAAAGGACTTTTTGGCAATCAAGTCTGTAAGTACATTGTATAATTATCTACTTTTGAATGTATAGGTTGTTGTTCAACCAATTTGTTTGAACTTTTATTCTATTGTATAATAGGCAACACAATGTTTCCTCCACTTCTAGGGATCAAGACATTTTTTCCCGGGTTATTAGGTTAGCATGTAATTGCATCTGCAGTTTTAATTATGCAGTTGATTCCAGTGTTTTATTATCTATCTTGGGATAAAGCAAGTCACCCCAAAAACTATACAGAAGAACATTAGCTTCTCCTGGTGTATGAGAAGTCATGGCAGTGTTTACTTTTATAAATAGATAATCTTGTGTCATATGAGTAACTAAATAAATTAAGTCGGCTGTTTTGGAGACTGATTATAATCAAATCTTTCCTTCTATTTCAGGTTTTTGAATGTTTCCATCAAAGTTTTGGAGATTTTACTTACAAGGACTTCGTGCATGCATGCACACTAGGTAAACCAAACTCTTAAAAAGTTTGTACTTCCATAGAATGATCACTTTACTGGGTAGGATGATTTTAATTGACCTACATGTGTGAAAATATGAAGGAACTGCATTTAGGTTTGACATTGCTGAACTTCGAGGGTTGTTAATTTAATTATACATTGTTGGTGATAACCTTATCTATAAGTTTGGCATTGGTGAATTTGGTAATTGTTTACATGAATAAAATTAATTTTGAAGGTAACTGTGTATGGTTGTTTTTTGCTTAATTGTATTTGTTAAGTTGTGACTTGTTTTGTAAAAGACTCTCAACTATTGATGTCTTAGGTACCAACAATGTAGCCAACTGTATCCTGATAATTCTGTAAAATGAGTAACCCATTACTTTCCCGATAATTCTACTCATTGCATGTCTTTCTTGTCACTTATTCTCCCCTGAAAGGCTAACCCTTTGTTTGTTTCAACAGAGAGAAAAGGAGGGAAGATTTATTTTTAAAATTTTTTTGTTTCTTATAGTAAATTTTTTGCTCCTTTTCTTCTTCATTTTCTATTCAACCAAACAAAAGAAAATGCATCATTATCTATATTTTCTCTCCTTTTTTTCTTTCCTTGCTCTTTATCCTAACCACACATTAATGGTTTATTGTCAGTTCAAAAGACAAACAAGACTAAATATCTTGATAGAATATGCACTTTAGTAGTTCTGAATCTCATAGCATCTACTTTTGTACTGTATAGTTGCTGGTGGTACATTATGTTGGCTGTTGGGAACTTCTGTTGAGCATTGGACTTTTACAATGCAAACATAGGATAGGAGGGGTTTCCTAAGTATGCTTTCTTGGTGAATAAGTATTGTTTGCAACAGCTAGGATTGCCAATGTGGGTAATATTTACTTACTCTGTATGGCTTCTGTTCGGGGCTGTGTTATTGTGATTCCTTAGATAATTTCTATAAGATGCACACCGGGGATTTTGAGTCTTTGTAGTTGATGGTATTTTAATCTTTTATGATCTGCCTGACTTTGCATGGAGGATATCTGACCTTCTCAATCATGCTATTTCCTTATGTTTTGCTCTGTTGTATCCTTACTTGGACTGAATTTTCAAAGGCGTTGATAAACCTCATTTATTATTATGTTGCATTGAATATGAAAACTCATTCTTAGTTCTATTTGATCACTTCAATGTTGAATTACCAGTTGGTTCTCGAGCATGGGGAAACACAAAAGGTTTAGCTCTGGTATTGCAACTGTATGGCGACTTCTCTTATAATTTATGCCCGGTCCTTGATTGTTTTTTTCTAAAATATTTTCATAGATTCCATTTGCAGATTTCTTAAACCATGATGGAGTTTCAGAAGCAATTGTAATGAGCGATGATGACAAACAATGCTCAGAAGTTCGATCTCTCTCTCTCTCTCACACACATACACAAACACACATTTCTGCCTTGTATGATTGTATCTAATCTATCAATGGTTATTTGAGCCTAATTAAAATATTTGTTAAACTGTTCCCCCCTCCCCCCTAATACATGAAAGTCAATTTTCATTTTTATGTTCCTAGGCATCAATTATTATATGTTATTGAATTTTACCTCTCATATGTTGTGCTCATACATTTCCATATCATATGATACAAATTTTCTCCTATAAGAGGATGGGAATATTCAGGGGAATGATAATGGGCTTAGTTATGATAAGGTGTGAGTTGGTAAGTTGGTTATGGCATGTAGGATTGGATCGTTAGGTTAGGAGGAGTGGGGATTTTGGGGGTTGTTTAGAGGAAGTTTGAGTGTCATGAAGTCGTCTTTTGAAGTTGTAAGGGCAGAATTGAGGCTTTTTGACCAAAGTAGGGCTGTATGGAAACTTATTAACGTAAATGGGGCTCTTTTGAAACTATTTACGCCTTTGGGGCTGTTTACAACGGTGTCGCTATGGGCCATAGCGACACCATTGCCACGTGGCTTTTTTTTAACTCCAGAGAAGCCATGGAAGCCATATTGACGAAGTTGGTGCAGCCTATAGCGACACTAATAGCTTCAATGAAGTCGTTGTAGCCCATAGCGCCTCATATTTGAAATTTAAAAAACAAAAATTCAAAAAATATAATTATTAAAAAAAAAATTTATAAAATAGTTATTAAAATTTATATGATAATGTAAAATAAAAAATTACAAAAGTAATATACTACATAATTTAAAATATTAAAACGTAAAATACAACTGGTGTCGCTATGGGCTATAGCGCCACTGTGTCGCTATAGCCCACAGCGACACTATTATAAATAGATAAAAATAAATAAATATATAGATATATATTAAATAAAGAAATTAATAGAAAAATAAGTTTATAAATAATCATTTTAATTTATATGATAATATAAAAATACAGAAATATTAAAAAAAAATAAGATAATACTTAAAAATAAAAAAATAAAAAAAAAGAAAATAAGGTGTCGTTATGGGTTATAGCGCCGCTGTGTCGCTATAGCCCACAGCGACACTGATGGTTGGTTTAGCCAAGTATTGTTTTGGATTGTCACTCATTATAACCAATGTCCATCACTCATTAGGGTGTATTTGGAAAGTTCAACCGAATGTTAATCCATCTATAGAGTTGTTTCTGCGTTTGTGCATTGGAATTCGAGAAACCTCCGTTGAACCTGGTTTAAACGGATTTCAAAACACACTTACAAATCGGTTGAAGCTTCCCCTTCCACTTGCAGTCCATGTTTGAGGTTTAGAACAGCTAGCCCATATATACTCATAACAAGAACAACAATTATGCAGGAAAATCACAAAATAAATGACATTATTTAATAATTCGTCATAAAATAATAAAGGAAAAAAAAATATATACACAAAATTAATAAGAGAAAAATTAACTTTATAATTACAAATTAACATTTAACTGGTAATATAAAATAAATAAATTTTAAAATAAAATAAGTTAAATAATTAAAAAAAAATTTTAATTAATTAGTGTCGCTATAGGCCATAGCGCCACTCACAAAAAATAATTATATATATTTTTTAAAATTACGTTTTTAAAAGAATATTTTTTATTTTTATAAATATATAATAAGTAAACTCAGTTGATTATTTTAAATTAACATTTAAATTATTTTACTTTTTTTCGTTTTTTTTCTTAAAGGGTGTCGCTATGGGCTACACCATTTTTATTGGCCCACAAACTGTGTTGCCTCAGCCCATAGCGACACTGGTATGGCTCATTCGAGCCCACCCCACACCAGAAAAAAAAAAAGCCACGTGGCAATGGTGTCGCTGTGGCCCATAGCGACACCATTGTAAACAGTCCCAAAGGCGTAAATAGTTTCAAAAGAGCCCCATTTACGTAAATAAGTTTCCATACAGCCCTACTTTGGTCAAAAAGCCCAGAATTGAGGATAAAGTTCTCAGTTTTTCATTCCATTTTTTTTTTTCTTGTGTATTTTCACTCTTAGTCCCATCATGATATGATATGGGGTTGATATTTTGATGCGGATACAATGCAAATCATTAAAGTAAAGTACTAATATAATTCTACTAGTACAAGGCTGCTACAATAAGACTTTTTAGCCTTATCAAATTAGGAAATTGCACTTAACACAAACACGTGCACACACAAATACACAACTTAAATTTTAATTTATTTTTGCAATAATGTGCAGATTATCGCTGATCGTGATTATGCCCCTGGGGAACAGGTCATTTAATATTTTTTTAATAAAAGCATAACGATTGTAATATAAAGTTTTTTTTTTAATCCATTTGTGCCTCCTGTTATCATTTTGAATAACTAAATGATATTTCAATTTCTTCATAGTTTTGGTTCTCAATTTGTAAATTTCTCACGTGGGTTTAATTTTTGATTTAGGTACTAATAAGATATGGAAAGTTTTCAAATGCTACATTAATGCTGGACTTTGGTTTTACGATTCCATACAACATTTATGATCAGGTATATCCTTGAAATTGTATTTCAAGTCGTACAATGTGGGCTGATATGATAGTTTTTGTTCCTCTTGCTTGTTGCTTTATTGTTATGATTGCACCAGCTATCCTTTATTGATAATTTAGCCATTCCCAGGTTCAGATCCAGTTTGATATACCTAAGCATGATCCTTTGCATGACATGAAGTTGGAACTCTTGCATCGATACTTTGTACCTCCACCTGAAGATATAAAGGGCTTGACATATCCCGTGAATTCCTTCAGTATCAAGTTTGTCCCATTTTCTAATGTTATTTGTCTTGAACAATTATTAAGATAATATAGTCCAATTTTTGTATACTTTTTTTGATTAGTGTCCAGGTTTTGTATACCGATTCTTGGTACAATATCCCCACATATTTATCTTCAATGGTTGATTTGCAGTATTAATTTTGATCTGTTTTCAATGTAACTTAACGAGTCATGACGCTGCTCATTTGTAGATATTTTTCTTTTTTATGTGTCCCACTGCATGAAATGTGCATGTTAAATAACAAACACACACATATATGATAATACAAGACTTCCTGATATGGTGTTACTCTAAAATGTTGATTATATACTTGCCAGTATTTGGCTATCTGATGGAGGCTGTGATCTCATAGGGAGGTGAGGTCAGATAGAGGAAAAGGGAAGGGTCTTCCGCAATCACTTCGTGCGCATGCTCGTGTTCTTTCTTGTACCACATCTCAGGGTGCGTCTAAAATCTTATTTAGTTTTGTTAATGCAAGAATGGTTACAGTTCTTCCCACCAAAAAATTGGTGCGCTTGTTAAATAAGCTTATACTTAGCAGTATCTACTTTTGGCATTTTTATTGATTAAAAAAATCAGAACTTGATGATTTGGTCGTGGAAGCTTCACAAACTGATGGTAGGCTGGCTAGGCGCCCTTTACAGGATATCATTAAAGAGAAACAAGCACACATGATGTTGTTATCATTATTCATCCAATCAATTGAGGAGCGCAGTGCGACTATTATGGTAAAGATTTGAGGAATTTATCTATTACATAGTTGTATGATTGGTTTAACATCCAAACAAGGTGGTTACTGAATCAGTAGCAAGTTGAGGCAAAAATGTATTTGGGCGGCCCATTTTATCACATTGATCTTTTCAGATTGCTAATCTAATAAAATATATAAGGAGCATTAACTGTTTGCTTAAGTTTATTCAATTTATCACAATGTTTTTTCCACACTTGTTTGCAGTCATTGGATTCTTCCAATTCTCCCTCCTCGTGTGAAAGACATTCTGTTAGAAGACTAATGGCTCGAGATCTTCTACATGGTGAGCTTCGTATTCTCAAATCTGCTTTTGCCTGGCTGGAGAACTATTGTTTTTCCTAGACTTGATGGAGCCACATGACTATCAACGAGGTTATGCATCCAGCAGTAGGCTGGGATTAACACACACGAAATATCAGAATATTTGACAATAATTTTGCATGCAAAATTTTAGAAAAATCAAATATTTCATGTGTATGGTATCTTATATAGGACCTTTAATATTTTAAAAAGCATATATCTGTTACAATGAAGTTAATCGATGAATTATTAACTGATTCTTAAATTATATGAATTGTTATTGACTAATCTATTCAATAAAAACTTCAACTTGTATATTAGCTAGGTATGTCTATTTCTATTTGACAGTTAAAGATCATCGTATATACAATTATGACTTAAAAGGTTTAATTTTTATTAATTATTATGTTATCAATAAATTTTATATTAAAAATGAATTTTATCTTCTATATACAGAGAGATTTGATTGCATTAGGCGTAATTTTTAATAATTATTACATTATCAAATATTTTAACTTAAAGGTATATTTTGCCAATTTAACAAATAATTTATAACTCGATATATTACATTAAATATTTATGTCAAATTTTATTTAAAATTGAACAATAACGCCTGTACCTGAATTTGAATTCGATCTTAGTTTTCTTGTCAAAATCGGGTTGGGTTGCGTAAGCACTCATGGATTTTGGTTTAATTGTCATGCTTATAATTAATGATTATTCTTGCAAGTAATTCAGAGAAATATCTTGATTTATTAGGATTAGGATTTTTTTTTACAACATGATTAGGAACTTTTGATATGAAACTAATATTTTTCTTCCTATAAATAGTTAAAGTATAATATCATATTATCTTGAATATAATTAAATAGTTAAATACAAATAATTAATGTCTTGAACTCATGAATTATTTGGATAATATTTGAGTTTGATTATAGACGCAATCTTTGATTATATTTTATTTATCTTCTAATCAAGTTAAATTAGTCTTATATTTTAATATATTTTTAAATATATATCTATATACAGGGACATATCTACGTAGAAGAGAGTGGGGACACATGTCCTTACTACCATTTTACACACATATTTTTTTTAGTCAAAAAAATAATATATTTTTAAAAATAAAAGTTATATTTTAATAAAATAAACATATATATTTAAATTATCTTATTATAAAATATAAATTTTAAAAAATTATTCATTTATTTGATATTTATCATATTTTCAAAGGAGGCTAGTTCTCGTATGTAATAAAAAAAATATCTTAATAACGAATTAATTTTTTGAAAAAGTTTAACTTTTGATAAAATAAAATTTGCACCATATATTTATCTTTTGTGCTTTTTATTTATGTATACGTAGATTAAAAAAAATTAAAATAGTAAAGATTATAAGATTGTATACGTCAATTAATTTAAAAAATTAAAATGGGAAAGATTGGAAGATTTATATTCTATTTAAAAATTTTATTATAAAATATATTTTGAAATAAATTATCATCTAAAATATTATATTAGATATTAAAAACATGTTTATATTATAAATAAATTAAACTTGGTTTTTATA